TTCTTTAGGACCCCCCCATTCAGGCTTCCTTCGGCGCCGAGACTCTTCAGAGGCTTTCGGAGGCCTCCCGCCAGCTTCGGTTGGCTTCGAGTTCCTGGGGCGAGGGCCGTCTCTCGGGTTCCCTGCGGACCTCGGGCGTCTGGGCCGTGCCGCGCCGCGTTGAGGAGGGCTGAAAGGGGTTGTGCTGGGGTCGGTTTATGCGTCGCCGTCCCTCGGCCCTGTTCAGTGGAGGGAGTGCATAGGCGAGCCCCCTAGGAGTTCCCGATAAGGGGGTCTCGTTTGTATGCCAGTGGTATCCCCCTGCAGGGCCCCACAGAATCTCGGGCCCCTCAAGCGGTTCTCGAACGCCTGATCCGTTTTTTGTTTTCCTTGTGGGCCTGCAGGGTGCGGTTGTCTCAAGGCGATTGACTTCATCGGATCATCGGCGCTGCTCTGCTCTGCTCCTCCTCCTCCTCCTCCTCCTCCTCCTCCTCCTCCATTCGTTTCCCTGGTGGAGGACCTGTGGAGGAGAACGGGCTGCAAGGGAAACGACAGAGGAGGCCCGAACTCCGACAGCGGAGGCCCTCCAGCCACTGGGAACGATGCCGGGCACATGCCACAGGCGAGACTGCCACCAGGCGAGGAGGGAACGCGGAATGCCACTGACACGCCAGTGGACATGAAGGCGAACATGGCCCCGTGGGAAAGGCCGACTCGCAGCTTCCTCCACGGAGCACGGGCCGCGCACGCTCTCCCCTGTCGCCTCGTCTCGGTCCCTCGGCCCCTTCGCGCATGCCGGTCGTTCTGCCCGCCCTGCGCTCGGTCCTCGTGGCGTCGCTGGGCTCGGGCCCTGCGCTTTGCACTGCAGCGACCGACGAGGCGTTCAGTGCACGTGCCAGCAGCAATCGCTCGAGGGTCGGATTCCCGAGGTATCGAACGAGCCCATCGCCACGCTGCCGAGGGCGTGCGGTGCGATCGGTCGCCGCAGGCGCACCTTTCGCCCAGCGGCCGCGACCACGGGGAGGAGGGTGTCGGGTCGTGGATTCGGGATACAGCCGAGGTTGGAGGCGCCCCAGTCCGATCCGCAGGCATACTCTGCCGGGGAGGTATGGGGTGGCGTGGGCCCCTCGCGCTGATGGTCGGAAACTGGAACGTATACGTTACCAGTGGCGGGGTGTCTTCCTACTCCAGGACTTTGCGAGGCTCGTGGACGACGTCGGGGTGGTGTGACGCATACTTGTGTTATCCGTTCCCCAGGGGAATAACGAAACGTGTGTACACCAGGGTCCCGTACACACCCCAGGATCCGCTGTCCCGTGCAAATTTCGGTGCAGGGCCAGGCAAACCGTCGTTGTATACAGCTCGTGCCCCTGGACATCGCTCCCCTCCTCTCTCTCCCCCCTCCTCTCCTCCTCTCTCCCTCCTCACCCCTCCTCTCCTCCTCTATCCCTGGACATCGCTCCCCCTCCTCTCTCCCCCCCCTGTGACCCCATCCACCTGTCTGGACCCGCTTCCCGAGGCACGTCCAGCCGTGGCGACGTGCCCCTTTCCTGTATGAAAGGCCCAGAAAGAGAGGAGGAGGAGCGTGAGGAGGAGGAGGAACGTGAGGAGGAGGAGGGAGGAGGAGGAGGAGGAGGAGGAGGAGGAGGAGGAGGAGGAGGAGGAGGAGGAGGGGGAGGAGGGGAGGAGGAGGAGGAGGGAGGAGGAGGAGGAGGAGGAGGAGGAGGTAGGAGGAGGAGGAGGAGGCGGGCGGGCGAGGAGGGCGAGGCGGGCGAGGAGCAGGAGGAGGTCGCATGAGGAGGAGGAGGAGGAGGAGGAGGAGGAGGAGGAGGAGGAGGAGGAGGAGGGAGGAGGGAGGAGGGAGGAGGAAGAGGAGGAGGAGACGGACCAGTGGAAACTCAAGTCGCATCACCGATGTTGTAAGAAGCGCAGCTCCCTCTTTATAGGCCACTACAAGGGTTCATTTTCACTCAGGGAAGTGCCTCGTTGGGAGACAACCGTTGGAAGATCCTGAAGCTTAAGAATACACCGTTGTCGGAAGTTCAGCGCCACGAATGAACCTGACTGTTGCGTCTTGACGATTCCGAATAGTGCCAGCACACCATCCCTGGGACTTCAACGCAGTGAATCAACGTAACGGTTGCGCCCTGAAAATCTTGAGACGTCCCGAAATACCGTTTCGGTTACGTTCACCATGGGATTCAGTGAATTGTATGCAATTTCTTAAAACGAATGCGCGCGGCGCTAAAAGCGAGAACTACATGTTGAAATGGAACCGCCCTCGATCTGTGAAGCTCTTTCCATTTTTGATACCCGAATGTGCACGGGGCTAGGGCGAAAGCCACATGTTGAAAACCACCCGCCCCCGATCCGTGAAACTCTGGCTAATGTTTAGAATGAATGAGCGCGGCGCTCAGGCGAGAGCCACATTTTGAGAACCACCCGTTCTCAATTCGCGAAGCTCTGGAACATGTTTAAAACAAGTGTGCGCGGCGGTTAGGCGAGAGCCACTTTTCAAAACTGCCCTCCCTCCATCCGTGAAGCTGCTGCCAAGTTATACGCGTCAGGATCATATATTGTGACGAAGTCTCAGGCACAACGCCCAGCCCGCCCTTCCGACTGGCCGCGCGGTGCGACAGGGAGGAGTTCTTCAAGAGGACAAGGCATGGAGAAGAGGAGGAGGAGGAGGAGGAG